GTGTCTCCTGATAACGAATTCTTCGTCAAAGAAAATTTCTAAAATTTCTCGGCGAATTTCACACAAAGAAGAGACACTCAGACACGCGTCCACTGAAAACATCACGCAGTCCACTTGCTACACACACACACACACACATATATATATATATATATATATATATATATATATATATATATATATATANAGAGAGAGAGAGAGGAGAGAGAGGAGAGAGAGGAGAGAGAGAAGGAGACATACGGAAGAGACACACAGACACGACGGCACTGAAGACACCACACAGTTCACTAGCTAGCCAGCTAAAGGGGGCAGCAGCTAGCTGCGGTGTAGCGGCAGCACATCATCGATACAAAAGATAGCTAGCTGTAGAGAGGGGTCCGCTAGCTAGCTAGAGGAGACATAAAGGAGGCAGCTAGCTACACAGGGGCACCCGGGGTCAGAGAAGAGACACTGCGTTGCAGTTAGCTAGCTGCTACCTGCTAGCTAGCTGCTCCCTGCTAGCTAGCTGCTCCTTGTCAGCTACCTGCTACCCACCAGCTAGCTGTTGCCTGCTAGCTAGCAGCTAGCTGGCTAACCAGCTTGCCGCTAAGCGGTAGCTAACTGCTAACAGCTAGCTGGCTAGCTAGCTAGCGAGCTAGCCGTCTAGCTAGCTGTCTAGCTTGCCATCTAGCTAAATACACAGCTAGCTAGCTTGCTAGCTAGCTATACAGCTAGCTAGCAAGGTAGCTATCAAGCTAGCTAGCTAGTTAGCTAGCTAGTTAGCTAGCTAGCTAGCTGTTGAGTAGGGGCAATGAGAGAGCGTGCTCACCCGCTGCAGCCCCTGCCACTCTAGGGTCTCTCCGTCTCCTCCCGCAACGTCGCATATATGAACAAGCAGTGGTGTGTTTCTGTGTCTTGAGCTGCTGCTGCTGCTGCTGCTGCTGTTGCTGTTGTTGCTGCTGCTGCGGCTGCTGCTGCTGCTGGCGCTGGTTGTCTCTGGTGTCTCTACATCAGGCGGAGACGATCCCAGCAGCGCCGCATCGTTCCCCCCGCTGTCTCCTTCTGCTGCTCTCCACAGCTCCTTCTCTCCCTCAGGCGGCAGCACAAACGACTCGCTGCAGCAGCAGCAACAAACAACAGCAGCAACAGCAGCAGCAGCAGCAGCAGCAACAATTAACGGTAGAAGAAGCAGCAGCAGCAGCAACACCGACTGCAGCGACAAGGCAACTCAGCAGCAACAGCAACTCCCCTGCAACACCATGCCTTGTTGCTGTTTCTCTACCACCACTAACCAAGCAGCAGCAGCAGCAGCAACAGCAACAAACAGCAGCAGCAGCAGCAGCAGCAGCAGCAGCAGCAGCAGCAAGCGTACGTGTTGCTGCCGACAGAGGGCCTGGTGGGTATGAAGGCCCCCAATTTGAGTCTATAGACAAGGGCTGTCTTCCCTGAGAAGCGGCGGCCGACGAGCAGCACGCGCAGCTGCTGCTGCTGCTGCTGCTGTTGCTGCTGTTGCTGCTGCTGCTGCTGTCTATGGCCGCGGCTAAATAAGCGGGAAACGCTGCGACGGGAACGCAGCAACAAATCCCCTGGCATCATCTGCTGCAACTGTTGCTGCAGCTGCTGCAGCAGCTGCTGCAGATGCTGCTGNAGCTGCTGCAGCACACCCAGCAGCAAACCACCACACCCTTGGCTGCTGCTGAGGATACACCCCAACGGCCGCTGCAACCACCGACAGCAGCACCACCAACCAGCTCGACCGAACATGCGTTCGCTCCCGCTGTTGCTGCTGCTGCTGCTGCTGCTGCTGCTGTTGCTGTTGCTGCTGCTGCTGCTGCTACTTCTGCTGCTGTACCCGTTGGTGTTGCTGCAACAGAAGCAGCTGCAGCAGCAGCAGTTCACAGCCCCTACGAAGCAAACGCCCCCACAAACAGGTCGCAGCAGAAGAGCTGCATGTACACCTGAACGGAGACTGCTGCAGCAGCAAGACAGAGAACAGCTGCTGCTCAGGAGGACCCAACAACTTTATAGAGGCCGTGCAAATGCAGCAGCAACAGCGGGAGCAGCAGGTGCTGCTGCCGCCGCTGTTGCTGCTGCTTCTGCTGCTGCTGCTGCTGCTGCTTCTGGTGCTGCTTCTGTGGTAGTGGTAGTGGTGGTGCTGCTGGTGCTGCTGCTGTGGTGCTGCTGTTGCTGGTGCTGCTGCTGCTGCTGCTGCTGCTGNTGCTGCTGCTGCTGCTGCTGCTGCTGTTTCCCTGTCTCGACAAAGGCGCCAAAGAGCCTGGAGGTGTCAAGCGTGTGGAGAGGAGGAAACGATCCTCACATCAAGGTGCTGCTGCTGCTGCTGCTGCTGCTGCTGCTGCTTGCTGCCGTTGCTTGCTGCTGCTGCGGGTGCTGCAGCAGCTGCTGCTGCCGCTGCTGCTGCTGTTCTTACTGCATTCAGTCCCTGACGTCGTTCAGCGCGGATACTGCAGGTACTCGCCCTCTTTCCCTTTGCTGCTATGCCCCGAAGCACCAGCAGCAGCAACAGCAGCAGCAGCAACCCCCAGGGGGGCCACAGCAGCGCTAGCAGAAAGACAGCAGCAGCAGCAGCAGGAGCAGCAGCAGCAGCCGTTGAGCCAACAGGGCGATGCCGCTGCGCGCCAGGCAATAAAAACGTCAGAATGAATTTATTAATTAATATTATTTTGGGTTGAGAGGCAAAGAAAAAGAGAAAAACTGAAGAGAGAGGGAGAAGGAGCCCGCAGCAGCGGCTCGGGGTGTATACGCAGCTCCTCGTGTTTTCTTGTCTCCCGTTATGTACACTACGACAACTGCTACAACACAAACAAATAATATAAAATAAATATTAAAAAATAAATTCTCTTTTCTCTCCTTTCGCATGCAGCAGCAGCTGAAACCAGCCCCGTCGGCAGCGCCTGACTGTCCTCGCCGCTCTCCCACTGCTGCATACAGATACATAAAAAAATAAATTTTTGTTTTTATTTATTTATTTATTTGTTTTTTTGCTTTTTATTATCATAATAACTATAAACTCTGTTGTATTTGCTTGTTTGTTTGTTTGTTTTTATATATAACTCTAAGACTTCTTCTATGTTGGTTTGTGTGTTCGTGCGTTTTTCTTTTGTTTGTTTGTTTTGTTGCGGTGATTTGTTTTTTGTATTTGTTTGTTTATTGATATAATAAATTAAAAGTGTTTATTATTTGTTTTTTTCTCTGTTTGTTGTGATGATTTTTTTATTTTTTTTTTTTATGGGGAGCAGAGGATATACACGCAGGAGGCAATGACCTCTTCGGGTGTATGCGCAGCTTTCTCGGGTGTATGCACAGCTTTCTGAGGTGTATATTCATCTGGCTTGGGTGTATGTACAGCTTGCTGGGGTGTATGCACTGCCTACTGGGCTGTATGAACGGCTAACTGAGGTGTATGCGCAGCTTGCTGGGGTGTATGCACAGCTTGCTGGGGTGTATGTGCAGCTTGCTGGGGTGTATGCACAGCTTGCTGGGGTGTATGCACAGCTTGCTGGGGTGTATGTACACCCCTATCCCCGCACCAGCAGCCTTTGATTCTCCTCGCACCTTAACAAACAGAAGATTTCACTCTTCTCTTGACTGCTTTAGGGTTTAGTGTTTAGGGTTTAGAGTTCAATGTTTATACTTAGACTTTTAGGTTTATGCTCTGAAGTCTAGGGTTTAGGGTTTAGGGTTTAGGGTTTAGAGGCCAGTAGGGCTGCATCCCCCCCTGACAAGCCTTCATTGTGTTGTAACTGTCTCCGTTTTGTGTTTGTTTGTTTGCGTTTCTTTCTTCTCTCTGTCTCCATTCGCCTGTCTCCTTCTTTCGTGTGTCTGTCTGTCTCTCTTTCTCTTCTCTGTCTCCTCCTCTCTCTGCCTCTGCAGCACTGCATAGAGGGGACACCAGCAGCAGCAGCAGCAGCAGCAGCAGCAGCAGCAGCAGCAGCAGATAGACCGCCCCCAAACCGAGGGGTTGCTGGTTTCGCCTCCCAGCTGTGCTGCGCTCTCATTGTTATAAGGTGTCTCCTTTTTTGGCTGTTATAAAGTTTTTCCTTTTTTGTTGTTATAAGGTGTCTCCTTTTATTTGTTCTTATAAAGTGTCTCCTTTTTCCTTTTTGTTATAGAGTGTCTCCTTTTATTTGTTGTTATAAGGTGTCTCCTTTTTCCTTGTTGTTATAGAGTGTCTCCTTTTTCCTTTTTGTTATGGAGTGTCTCCCTTCTGTTTGTCGCTATAAAGTGTCTCCTTTCTCTTCGTCTTTATAAGGTGTCTCCTTTCTCTTTGTTGTTATGAGGCGTTTTCTTCTCTTTGTTTGTATAAACTGTCTCCTTTCTCTTTGTTGTTATAAAGTGTCTCCTTTTTTCTTCCTATTGCCGAGGCAGAGTTGGTGGTGTCTCCCCGTTCCAACGGAGACTTTAGTACTCCTTGTGCAGCTGCTGCTGCTGCTGTTGCTGTTGCTGCTGCTGCTGCTGCTGCTGCTGCTGGCTCTGAACAGTGCTGTGAGGCCGGAGACTGTCTCCTCTGCAGCAGCTGCTGGAGGAGACAGCAGGTGGTTTGTTTTGTTG